ACGCCCTCACAGCGTCCTGGAACGCCCCGGGAAGGCCGGCGGCGCCCGAGGCAGTCTCCAGAGCCGCTGGGTGTTAGAGAGTCTCGATGTATCCTCACCCGATGTTGGCCTCGTCCTGGCTTCGCCTTCTGCTACGAGTGCCCCCAGGGAGGCCCAGGAGAGGCCAGGCACGCCCAGAAGCTCCTCGCCCTCGCCCTTCGCCTCCCTCGCCCAGAAGCTCATGGGCGGCGGTGTGGAGCGGGCCGCCCAGCGCTCCAGCGAGCGCTGGCAGAGGCCTGCCGAGCGGTTTGCACCTGCAGTGTGGCCTCACCATGGTCGGTAAACTCCTCCACCTCCTCCTCCTCCTCCTCCTCCTCCTCCACCTCCTCTCCTCCTCCTGCTCCTCCTCCTCCTCCCCTCCTCCTCCTCCTCCTCCTCCTCCTCCCTTCTCCTCCTCCTCCTCCTCCTCCTCCTCCTCTCTCCTCCTCCTCCTCCTCTCCTCCCTCCTCCTCCTCCTCCTCCTCCTCCTCCTCCTCCTCCTCCGCTCGTCGCGGGTGTGGCGCCCCCACCAGCCCTCAGGGGGCGGCCCTGAGCATCGGTCCAGGGGGTCATGCACTAAACCGAAACCACTTTGGGGCGTTGCAAAATCCGAATTTATTATTCATCTGTCAGGTGGGGGGAGGAGGAGGAGGAGGAGGAGGAGGAGGAGGAGGAGGAGGAGGAGGAGGGGGAGGGAGGCGCAAGGCCCGTGAGGCAGCAGGGGCGGCCCGGCAGGGGCGGGGACAGGAGAGAGGAGGGCAGGTCGGGGGGTTGGCGGTCGGTTCGGCGGTGGTCGCCGTGGTCACGGCGCTGCCGTGCTGTTGGAGGTCGTGGTCACGGTGCCTGTCGGCGGTGGTCGCGCCGGTTGTCGTGCCGGTCCTGGTCGTGGTCGAGGCGCTGGTCGTGGCGGTTGTCGTGCCTAATTAGGGTCGTCGTCGTGGTGCTAACGGTGTCGGCAGTTGTTGTCATGCTGGGGGGGGATGTGGTCGCGCCGCTGGTGGCGGACGTGGTGGTTGCCGCGCCGGCAGTAGTTGAGCTGGCGGCAGCGCGCTTACCGCCCCACAGCCGCCAAGATGGCCTCGGCGTTTCCGAGGTGCAGCCGCGTGCTCAGCTGTTGCCAGCCATAGCGGATGACCTCTGTCCGCTCCGCGGGGGCCATGTCCGCCCCCTGTTTCGAAGACCACAGGGATGAGCTGGCCCCCTTCGGGCGGGTAGCGCTCCCGCTTGGCGTCCTCGGCGTTAGTGGCGGCAAGGCCGTCCTTGTTGGAGCGGGCCTGCTGGCGCGGCGCGGTGCCGCTGTGTGCGCAGGTCACGCTCGTGTCTAAGAACACCGTCTGGGCGGTCACTGCGTCGCGGGTGGCGACGTCGAGCCGCGCTTCTTCGAGGCGCCCTGTCCGCGGGTTCACCCTGTCCCAAGCAACAACCCGTTGCTCCGTCTGCGCTGCGTGTCCTGTGGTCCGCTGGTGGTAGCCTGCGCAGAAGTCCCGGAGGCCGTTGTGTTTGTTGTTGCGGTAGGGGCCACACGGGCACTTCAGGGCGTGGCGCCCGCGTCGGTAAAGTGCCTCCCCACACAGCGCCCCGTGGGCTTTGCGGAGCTTGCAGGTTGCGCCCGGCGGGCACACCGGCAGGCGCAGCTTGTCCTTGAGGGCAACCCGGAAGTGCTCGTCCGGCATTTTAGCAGGTGTCTCTCCCTCTCGGACGACGGGCGGCTCCAAGTACCCACCTGCGCCAGGGCCGCCAGACGAGCGGAAGTCAACCCTGTCGTCTGCTCCCAGGGAGGCCAGCAGCCGCTCGCGTTCCTTGCTGCGGAGGTCGCCCGCCCACTTCCCCTGCATCCCCTCCAGTGGTTCGCCCATGCAGCCGGTCCAGTCGACGGCCTGGAGAGATCCCCCGCTCTGCGCCTGTAGCCGGGCCTCTGCCCTCGCTATGGCCTCGGCCACCAAGGGGCAGCGCTCCTGGAACCGCGCCCAGGAGGGCTCATCCAGGCAGGCGCCCTCGCTATGGAGGGTTAGTGCCCAGCTGCCCAGGTAGGCGACGGCCGCCGCCTGCGCGGCCGAGGCAAGCCCGAGGCCCCGTCGGTCAACCGGAGGAAGCATTGCGCCCGCAAGTCGTCGTCGAGGGCGTCGCCCAGGAAGTCCTCCACAAACTCTGTGAGTGTCCTGTCGAGCCTGGTGAGCCAGTCCCCGTCCTCCTCCTCGTCCTCCTCCTCCTCCTCCTCCTCCTCCTCCTCCTCTCTTCCTCCTCCCCCCCTCCTTCTCCTCCTCCTCCTCCTCCTCCTCCTCCTCCTCCTCCTCCTTGTCATCATCATCAGCATCAGCAGCACCATCATCATCATCATCATCATCATCATCATCATCATCATCAGCAGCAGCAGCATCATCATCATCGTCATCACCATCATCATCATCATCATCATCATCATCAGCAGCAGCAGCAGCAGCATTATCATCACCATCATCATCATCATCATCGTCATCATAATCATCATCAGCAGCAGCAGCATCAGCAGCAGCATCAGCATCATCAGAAGCACCACCACCATCACCATCACCATCATCATAATCACCATCATCAGCATCAGCACCATCAGCATCATCATCATCATCGTCATCAGCAGCAGCATCGTCAGCATCATCAGCATCTTGATCAGCACCATCAGCACCATCATCATCATCAGCATCCTCATCAGCATCATCGTCGTCAGAATCACCCTCAGCACCATCAGCACCATCGTCATCAGCATCATCATCACCATCACCATCACCATTATCATCACCATCACTCGCATACTCATCATAGCCACATTCCTCTTCATCCTCCGTTTCCTCCTCCTCATCAGCATCAGCATCATCATCATCAGCAGCAGAATCATCGTCAGCTTCATCATCAGAATGACCATCAACAGCACCATCACGATCAAAGTCACAATCACCATCACACTCACCATAACCATCATACTCCCCCTCTTCCTCCCCCTCCTCGTCATCATCATCAGCATCGCAATCACCATCAGCATCATCATCATCATCATCATCACCATCATCAGCAGCAGCATCATCACCATCGCCATCACTATCAGAATCACCATAACCATTTTCCTCCTCCTTCTCCTCCTCCTCCTCCTCTTCCTCCTCCTCCCCTCCTCACTGCCAGTGTTGGCATCCCTCCCCGCCCTCCTCCTCGCTCTCCTCCCTCCTCTCCCTCCGGCTTCGGTAAAGAGGGATTGGAGCGAGGCTTGATGGGAGGGGGATTGCTTCGCTACCTTCAAGGGGGCTCAAATATTGAGCCCCTGGCCAGGGAGGATAGCTGGTGCCTGCGTGGTTTCTGACCGTCGGGCAGGGTGGGATTTAAATATTGCCCGAGCTGAATGTTTAAAGCTCGCAGGTCCACCCTTGCGGCCCCCCGGGCTGCAGACGGCGCTGCGCGAGGCATGTCGCATGTCGCTTCCTCCTGACGAGTCGATCCGATCCTCGCCTCGCCCTCCTGCCTCGCCACTCCTCGCCCCTCGCCCTCCCCCCATCCTCGCCCTCCTCGCCCCCCTCGCCATCCTCGCCCTCCGCCCTCCCGCCCCCAGAAGCCTCGACCCTCCCGATGCCCAGGAGGCGCACAGAGCGCCCGGGGGCAAGCTCGGGCGGCGCCTGACGAGCGACGCGCAGGGCGTGGACATCGGAGGGGCGCGGTCGCCGGCTGGCACTGACCAGCAACCACTTCCCCTGCTCCTGGCCTCCTCTGCCACGATGGTCCGAAGCGCCCAAAGACGGTGTGGCAGCCACACCGTGTGGCGAGTCAGTGGGGATTCGGGGTTCGGGGTCCCTGCGCGGTTCTCGGACGGTTTCGTAGGCTTTCGTGTGTTTTCGCCGTTCTTGGGGGTTCTCTCGCCTCGGAATGCTTTCCGGCAGCTGCGCCTCGTCGAGGGCGTTCTGGGAGTGCACGGAGCGTCCCGAATTGCCGCCAGAGACCCGAGTTGTAGCTCCGAAGCGAAGCATTCGGAGGAGGGCTGGTGTGGTGAACCAGTGGGGATTCGGCGTCACCGCACGGTCTTGAAACTCGGGTCGTTCTCCGAGGATGTCTCGGGCGATTGAGGCCTCCAGGATCTCAAAACCGTCTGGTGCTCTGGCTTGCTCTTGGGCCTCCCGGGGGGGGGGGCCTCGTGGCCCTGCCTTGCCCCAGTATACTTCTGCCGCGGTCGGCGGCGCATTCTCTGGGCCACCTCTCGCCACTGACGGTAGGGCTCGGCTCGCAAAGTTGACCCGAGCGGCGGCGGCGACGACAAGCCGCGCCACGCTCGCGGTAGGCTGCGGCGCTGCTCAAGGCACCCTCGTCGCTCTCGGCTGGGCCTGGGTCGGGAAACTCGCCAGGATGGCGCTTGCGCAGGCTCCGTGGAGGCAGAGGTTCCGGGCATCATGCTTACTCGCTGACCTCCTACGTACGGACGGTTGTTTTCGCTTCGTGCGGGCCCAACGAGTATACACCACCACCACCACCACCACCACCACCACCACCACCACACCCACCACCACCTTCAATCACCTTCCCTCCTCTGCCCTTCTCTTCCTCTCCTCTCTCCTGGGAGAGGGAGGGGGTGAGGGAGGTGGTGGTGGTGTGTCTGGTTTGGGGGCCCGACTCTCGCTTGTTTCGGGGGCAGAGGCGGGGGCCCTGGTCGCAATGGCTGGACGCAGCTTCGGAGAGCTGGCCAGGACGGGCCCTGTGAGGCAGCCGCGGGTCGATCTTGGCCCGACTGAGGGCAAAGTTCTTCTCGGCCACCCCCCGCAGGGTCGAGAAGGCAACCGATCAGAGGTAACCGCGCTTCGCTGTCTAGGCTGTATAGCCACAGGGGGCGCGAAGATGACCGCGCTTTGCACATCACGGCTCGGAGTGGAGAATGTCGGAGAGGCGCCCTTCTCCGGGGCGGCGCGAGTGCGCGAAGATGACCGCGCACCGCGGGGCGCGATGCGCGAAGTTGGGTCGCCCAGGATAGGGAGGCGCGATGCTTGCGTTTCTGGCTCTGTGCACCTCGACATGCGATGTGAGGCCTCACGGGCAACCTGCCGCAGGCAATTTGGGCCCAAGCCTTCTTCAGGTTTTTCTTCGACGGAGCTCGCGTCATTCGCGGAGCCGCGTCGTCCCGGGCGGGGTGGGGCAGACTGGCACGCAGCACAGCACCGAGCCTTGTCGGCGGCAGGGACGTGGCAGGATGTGGTCGCAGGAGCCAGCCATGGTCCTCGGGGCGCAGACGAGGCCCCAGGTCGGCATTGGCGAGCAGCCAGGTATGGTCGCCTCGCTGGCCGCGCAGCCGCGCGTGTCCATGAACGAGCTGCGCGTGCTGCTGCGCGAGAAGATGCTCGATCGTCAGCCCGCCGGGCACGGCGGTGGGCCGCCCGGCAACTTCGCGCACCCGCGGGCGCACAGCGAGAGCGCCGAGTTGGACGATGCTTCCACGGTGAGCAGCCAGCATGGCGCTTTCGATCCAAAAGGCAGTCCTGTGCGCTCACCGATACACCGCGGGACGATCGATGTCGTATACTCCCGAGGGCCGTGCGGGCGGCACGAGCGCAGAGATGCTCCAGGCCACCCCGTGCGTCCACACCAGGGCCGCATGGTCAACAAGGCTGCGGGCACTCAGAGCGCATGCGGTCCTCGGGACACCCACAGGCCGCCAGGTCAGTTCGCATACAGTGGCATGTTCGAAGAGGAGGGTTTCCACAACATGCGCGACTACGAGGGCGTCAGCAGACCGCAGGGCAGCCTGACCCACCCGTGGAGCAGCGGCGAAAACGCCGAGGCCACGAGTTCCCAGGGCGCGAACCACTACCCGGACCCCTGCCAGCCGCCAGGGAGGTGCACCCACCCGCGAGGCGTACTCGGGGGCATCGACGCCGCGGGCCCGCAGGGCCAGTTCCAGTGGCCGCAAGCGAGACGCACCGCGGCTCGTGGCTCGGGCCCCCAGGGCGCGCGCAGCCACCGAGATCTCCGCAGTCCGCCGGTGCGCGGCGCCTGGCCCCAGGAGGGCTACGCGGCGTTCGAGACCACCGACCGCCCGAGCGCGAAGCATCGCAGAGGCGCGAACCACGAGCCCCCGATGGTGCTCTCGCACCCGCAGATAAACTCCGCGATCATCAAGGCTGCGGACTCGCGGAGCATGAGCTTCCTCGTGGCGACAGTGGAGACCCACCTGCCAAGCATGAACATTGTCAACATCGCCACGTCCATGTTCAGGTGCGGCAAACTGGCGGCCGACTCGCCGAGAGTCCGTGTCGAGTCGGCAGCGACGGTGATTCGTCGGCTGGAAGTCCAGGGGTGGCCCCAAGGGGGGGATCTCGGGGCAGGCGGGCCCCCTCCAGCGGGTGGAAGGTGGAGACTTTCCCCCCAGGCCCCAGCCCTTGGCCCAGACGCCCCCGGGCCAACCCTCAGCCTCCAGTCGGCCGAGGTGACGAAGCTGGTCGCCGCGGCACAGTCAAGCCTGCAAGCGCTTCCGCCAGGCGATTGTCAGACACAGGCGATCAGTAACATCGCCTGGTCCCTGGCATCGATGCAGCTCCAGGAACCGGGGACGGGGGGTAACGAGGGGGAGGAGCCGCAGGCCAGGGTGGTCGAGCGTTCTGGCGCACCCGAGCCAGGGAAGGTTTTTTTGTGGCCCTGGCAGGAGAAGGACCTGCTCCAATTGCTGGCGCGCATGGCGATCGCGAACTTGTGGTCGTTCAAGCACATCGAGTTGTCATCCATGTTGTGGGCGTTTGCGAAGCTAGGGGCGGACAAGGTCCGAGCCCCAGAGCCCACGCCCACGCTCGCTCCACTCCGCTCCCCACCTTCCCTCTTCCAGACATGGGAAGAGGGAGGGGTTGAAACGAACGCACGGGTTGTTGCGCTGATCGGCTCTGGCCAAGGTATAGCCGGAGACGTGGATTGCATCATTCCCCAGGGCACGGAAAACAGCAACATGTCAAAATATGTGTGCGCGCACAGAGGAAGAAAGGGGGGGGTGGAGGGACAGCGATCGAGCAGTCGCCCCTGACAAGGTCATGCCAGCGGTCACTCGGGAGCTGTTCTACAGAGCGGCCGAGAGCTTCGACGGCGCGCTCGGGGAACTCTCGCTACGCACTCTCTCGACCATATCGTGGGCGCTTGCGACTGCCAAGCAGGCGACTCCCTCCCTCCAGCTCCTCCCTCCTCTGCTCCTCCTCCCCCCTACTTCCTCCTTCCCCCCTCCAGCAGGACCCGAGCGGCTTGTTCTGGGCTCTGGCCACAGAGATCCGTCGAAAAGCAAGCGAATCGACGCCCCAGGAGGTATCCAACATCGCGTGGGCTTTCGGGACCGCAGGACACAAGGACACCGCGATGCTCGATGCCCTGGCGGATTCTGCCATGCGGCAACTGCACAAGTTCAAGGCACAGGAGCGGCAGGGCCACGGAATGAAATCGAGGATCGAGTAGGGAGTGGCCATTTTTATGTAACTCAGAATTTGTACCTTGTCACACATTACATATCTTATATACACGTATTAAACATGTTTTAAACATAGATTGTCCGAGCAATGTTTGTATTTAGGTGTCCTTATTTGTTTTCTAAGGAACTGGGCTTGCGTGCCAGCCTAGCGGCTATTTAGCCGCCGTCGCCGCTTCGTCGCCGCCCGTCGTTTGGGCCTGCGTACCGGTCTGGCGGCTATGTAGCCGCCGTCGCCGCCTCGTCGCCACTTTTTCGCCGCCCGTCGTCTGGGCCTGCGTGCCGACCTGGCGGCTATGTAGCGGGCCGCCGTCGCCTCTTCGTCGCCGCCCGTCGTCTGGGCCTCTGTGCCGGTTTGGCGGATATGTATTTGCTGTTGCCGCCTGTCGCCGCTCGCCTCGTTGCTTTGCATTGCTTTGCATTGCGGTGCCAAGTCTTGCTTTGCATCGTGTTGACTTGCATTGCTTTGTATTGATTTGCGGTACGTTGTAATGATTTGCGTACTGCTGCACTGCATTACATTGATTTGCGTTGTGTTATTTGCGTCGCGTTGTACTTTTTGACATTGATTCGTATGAATTGCGTGCGCCGTATAGCTTGCACAGTACTATTGCAGGCAGTCTCTTATCGACCCCCCTCATCCTTTGCAAAATAAAACTATGGGCGCACACTCGTCTATCAGAAATCATCCGTGTTCAAGAACCCCTTTCAATAAAATGATAAAGAAAGCAACAAAAAAAACGAGACGATGTGCACAGCGCGGCTCGCGCGCGCATGCCGGAATCTTTCAACAAAAGAAGAACGCAAGTGTTGTAAGGAAGGTTAGATCGAGTGTCCCGAAAACAGGTTGCCCATGTTATTACTTTCTTATATATATATACATATACACATATATATGTGTGTGTGTGTGAATATATACATCTATATATATATATACACACACATTGCCCTGGCAACTGGGGTTCAAAATTCGAGCCATCGCCGAAGACGCTATTTGAAGACGCTATTCCTTGCGAAAGTCCCCGTGAAGACGCTATTCCTTGTGAAAACGCTATTCCCTGTGAAGACAGTGAAGACGCGATTCCCGGTGAAGACGCTTTTCCGGGTGAAGACGCTGGTGAAGACGCCATTCCCGGTGAAGACGCTGTTCCCGGTGAAGACGCTATTCCCTGTGAAGACGCGTCTTGCGGACACAGACAGCACTTCCCTTATGAAGACGCTACTCCCTGTGAAAACACTATTCCCTGTGAAGACGCTATTCCCTGTGAAGACGCTATTCCAGGTGAAGACGCTATGAAGACGCTATTCCTTGAGAAGACGTTATTCCCAGTGAAGACGCTATTCCGGGTGAAGACGCTATACTTGGTGAAGACGCTATTCCGGGTGAAGACGCTACTCCCACTGAAGACGCTATTCCCGGTGAGGATGCTGTTCCGGGCGAAGACGCTATTCGGGGTGAAGACGTTTGTGAAGACGCTATTCCGGGCGAAGACGCTATTCCCGGTGAAGGCTCTGTTCCTTGTGAAGACGCTATTCCCGGTGAAGACGCTTTGCCTGGTGAAAACGCTATTGCCGGTGAAGGCGCTATTCCCTGTGAAGACGCTTTTCCTTGTGAAGACGCTATTCCGGGTGAAGACGCTATTACCTGTGCAGACGCTCTTCCGGGGGAAGACGCTAATTCCCGGTGAAGACGCTATACTTGGTGAAGACGCGATTCCTTGAGAAGACGCTATTCCGGGTGAAGACGCTATTCCCGGTGAAGGTTCTATTATTTGTGAAGACGCTATTCCGGGTGAAGACGCGAAGACGCTATTATTCTGGGTGAAGATGCTATTCCGGGTGAAGACGCTATTCCGGGTGAAGACGTTATTTTTTTATGAAGACGCTATTCCGGGTGAAGACGCTATTCCCGGTGCAGACGGTATTCCCGGTGAAGACGCTGTTCTTTGTGAAGACGCTATTCCAGATGAAGACGCTATTCCCTGTGTAGATGTTCTTTCTCTTCACCAGGCCCAGTATTCAACGCGTTCCCGTCCCAATTGTCATTTGAAAGTGCCATTTTACTTTACGCTCGCCGTGCCTAACACAACGCGCGCCCCATCTGCTGTGCGACACCCTCTGCTAGGCAAGACCCCTCCCCAAGTTCAATAAAGTTAGAATCCTTGGTGCTAGACATGCCCCAACTGGTGGGCAACACCCTCTTGTAGGCAAGACCCCTACCGGAGGATCCCTCCCCAAGTTGATGAAACAAGAATTCTTGGTGTTTGACGTGCCCCATCTGCTGTGCGGCACCCTCTGCTAGGCAGGATTTCCCCCCAAGTTGATAGAACAAACCCGTGATGTTAGACGTGCCCCATGTGCTGCGCGGCGCCCTTTGCTAGGCAAGACCCCTCCCCAAGTTTATGAAAATGAAAAATCCTTGGTGCTGGACATGCCCTTTTGCTGGGCGGCACCCGCTGATAGGCAAGAACCCTCCCCTAGTTGATTGAAAAAGAATCCTTGGTGCTAGGCGTGCCCCATCTGCTGTGCGACACCCTCTGCTAGGCAAGACCCCTCCCCAAGTTGCTTTAAAATGAATCCTTGGTCCTAGACGTGCCCCATTTGCTGCGCGGCACCTTCTGCTAGTCAAGACCCCTCCCCAAGTTGATTTGAAGAAAAAATCGGTGGTGCTAGACGTGCCCCATTTGCTGTGTGGCACCCTTTGTTGGGCAATGGCCCTCCCCAAGTTGATGTTAAAAAGAATCCGTGGTGCTAGCACCTTTTGCTAGGCAAGAGCCCTCCCCAAGTTGTTTAAAACAAAAATCCATGGTGCTAGACGTGCCCCATCTGCTGAACGGAACCTTCTGCTAGGCAAGATCCCTCCCCAAATTGATTGAACAAGAATATTTGGTGCTAGACGTGCCCCATCTGCTGTGTGGCACCCTTTGTTGGGCAATGGCCCTCCCCAAGTTGATTTTAAAAAGAATCCGTGGTGCTAGGCGTGCCCCATCTGTTGTGCGGCACCTTCTGCTAGACAAGGCCCTTCCCCAAGTTGATTAAAAAACAGAATCCGTGGTGCTAGACGTGCCGCTTTGCTGTGCGGCACCCTCTCCAAGGTGAGCCCCTTTGCTGTGCGGCACCTTCTGCTGGGCAAGACCCCTGCCCAAGGTAATGTCAAACGAATCCCTGGTGCTAAACATGCCCTTTTGCTGTGCGGCGCCTTTGCGAGGCAAGACCCCTCGCCAAGTTGGTTAAAAAGTATATTTGGTGCTGGACATGCTGTGCGGCACCCTCTGATAGGCAAGAACCCTCCCCAAGTTCATCAAAAGGGAGTCATTGGTGCTAGGCGTGCCCACCTGCTGTGCGGCACCTTCTGCTAGACAAGACCCCTCCCCGAGTTGATTAAACAAGAACCCCTGGTGCTAAACGTGCCCCATCTGCTGTGTGGCACCCTTCTCCCCAAGTTGATTAAAAAAGAATCATTGGTGCTAGGCGTGCCCCACCTGCTGTGCGGCACCTTCTGCTAGGCAAGAACCCTCCCCAAGTTGATGAAACAAGGATCATTGGTGCTAGACGTGCCCCATTTGCTGTGTGGCACCCTTTGTTGGGCAATGGCCCTCCGTAAGTTGATCAAACAAGAGTCAGTGGCGCTAGGCCTGCCCCACCTGCTGTGCGGCACCTTCTGCTAGGCAACACCCCTCCCCAAGTTGATTAAAACAGACACCCTTGGTGCTAGACGTGCCCCGTCTGCTGAACGGAACCTTCTGCTAGGCAAGACCCCTCCCCAAATTAATTAAAAAAGAATAGTTGGTGCTGGACGTGCCCCATCTGTTGTGTGGCACCCTTTGTTAGGTAATGGCTCTCCCCAAGTTGATTTAAACTGAATCCTTGGTGCTAGGCGTGCCCCACCTGCTGTGCGGCACCTTCTGCTAGGCAAGACCCTTCCCCAAGTTGATTAAAAAAGAATCCTTGGTGCTAGATGTGCCCCTTTGCTGTGCGGCACCCTCTCCAAGGTGAGCCCCTTTGCTGTGCGGCACCTTCTGCTGGGCAAGACCCCTGCCCAAGGTAATGTCAAACGAATCCCTGGTGCTAGACATGCCCATCTGCTGTGCGGCACCTTTGCTAGGCAAGACCCCTCGCCAAGTTGATTAAAAAAGAATAGTTGGTGCTGGACATGCCCCTTTGCTGTGCGGCACCCTCTGATAGGCAAGAGCCCTCCCCAAATTGATTTAAAAAGAATAATTGGTGCTAGGCGTGCCCCATCTTTTGCGCGGCACCTTCTGCTAGGCAAGACCCCTCCCGAAGTTGATGAAGAAAGAATCCTTGGTGCTAGGCGTGCCCCTTTGCTGTGCGGCATCCTCTCCAAGTTGAGCCCCTGTGCTGCGCGGCACCTTCTGCTGGGCAAGACCCTTTCCCAGTTTAGTTTAAACATAATCCCTGGTGTTAGACATGCCTTTTGCTGTGCGGCACCCTATGCTAGGCAAGACCCCTCGCCAAGCTGATTAGAAAAGAATCCTTGGTGCTAGACATGCCCATGTGCTGTGCGGCACCCTCTGATAGGCAAGAGCCCTTCCAAAGCTGATTAAACATAATCATTGGTGCTAGGCGTGCCCCACCTGCTGTGCGGCACCTTCTGCTAGACAAGACCCCTCCCCAAGTTGATTAAAAACGAATCTTAAGAGGCCCCAAAACGGCCCCTCAGGAGGCTTAAAAACAGCTTCCAAAAGCCTGACGAGAAACCTCCCAAGAGACCCCCAAACGAACATCCAGGAGGCCTTGAACCCGCAACCCAGCCCTATCGGGCGGCGGCGGCCGGCGGAGGCGGGGGCGGCCGACGAGAAACAGGTTTCTCGTCGGGCTCTTGGATGCAGTTTTGAAGCCTCCTGGGGGGCCGTTTTGGCGCCTCTTAGGGCCTCATTTGGTCTTCTTGGGGGCCTCATGGGGCTTCGTGGGTGTTTCTCGAGGCCACCCG